AAAAAACTTTTTCTTTTGTTTTATTTTATAATGGAAACTTTGTTGTTGCTGTTTTTGCGGATGACGTTGATGATGATGGTGATGATGACGGAGGCGACAATGATGATATTGATGACGATGTTCATGGTGGCTGGTACTATTTTTTAAATACTGTTAATAGATCGTCAAAAATTGTCGATTTTTCGTTGGATGAAGTTGGAAGACGAAGCTGATGATGCAGCATAGGCAACAGTGTAGTATAAGTAGCTGCAACAGCAACTGGAATCTTCGCTTCTTCATTCCCGTTGCGGGTCATACCGGATTTGTCTCTTCAACACTTTCATCACTTTCGTTACCGGCACCGCCTTCACCTTTACTTTCTTTTTTATGTTTCATTCGTCTGTTTTGAAACCATATTTTTACCTGCAAAGCAAAAAAAAGCGGAAGTCACAAGTCAGTAGATCAAAATAACCGTCTTTTTGTACAATAAAAAAGAAGCGACTGAATGGTACAGGTGAGGAAAAAAGCGGAGAAACTGAGTATCTGTTGCTTGTTATGCCGTCTACCACTTTTCATCTAATAGGAGTACCAAAAGAACACAACCACACCAATGATCAAAAAACGAAAATTTTTTTGACTTATTACAGAATCTTCAGTTTTTTACTTAATTTTCTCAACTTCCAATACACATATATACCGTAACCTTTGAAAAAAAAATCTTTTTTTGCTTTTTTTTTTTGTAAAACAGTTGTGTTTTCCATCTCTTTTTCTGGGCAAAAAAGTAATTTTTTGTAGCTCAAAAATTGTTTGCTATTAGGCAAATGACAAAAAAATAAGATGTTTGATACGATGTATTAGTCGAGTGGCAATAAACGATTTGAGGATTTACTAGTGGTAGTAAGTGAAGATTTTTGTTTTTTGTTTTGATTAACAGTGATCAGAAATAATTGTGAAAATTAAAAAAAGACGGAAGGAGACAAGCAGAAAGTTCATTTCGGCTTCCACAGACAGTATCATAAAAATTGTTCAACAAAATGTATAGATCGGATATATGCAGTAATATAATCATTGGAATACAGTTTTGACAGTCTTATGTTCACCAGCAATAATGACCTCTAAGTTATGCTTTTTAATTTATGATCTTCGAACATGTTTTTATTGTTGTTCGCTTAAACAGATAACATATTTAACTATAATATACCACCATTGTGTTATGTTATATTGTTGGTGTCATCGACCATATCAGCAGAAATAAAATCTTTATCCCGTTTATGCAAACCAGTTCAATTTATCCACTTACTGTTGCCAACTTACTCATGAGTCTGTTTTTTTCTTTGTGTTTTGCTCTACTGCTGTTAGCGATAACACTGTCGATGAACTACCGTTGATTATCATGACCTTTTATCCAACATTACTGTCATCTGTTCAATGATTTATTTTCTTTTTTTACTTTTTTTCTATTTTTATTTATTTGTTTATCTACCCTTTTTTGGTAGCTGTTAAAATACCTCAATTTTTTCTTAAAAAATTACAAAAAAAACTGTTTTTTTTTGTGTCAGAAAAAACTTCCAGGTAATTTACGATGTCAAAGATAACAGTTAATTGTTGTTTTTTTTCTTTTTTTTTTGTATTTTTTTTCGTGCATTAGTTCTTGATCTAGATTAAATCATTCGCCAGTCGATTGTTTCAGGTTTTGTTAACCAGTCAACCGTATTAAAAGCTCAATGGGGCATCTGTTTGCATCCAAAAACAGCGATTATGGTACGGTAGATGTCAACAATACTTTCATATCGTTTAAGCAGTTAAATTATACAAAAATTGCTGAGTATAGCACATCCTTCATCCTCACTCACCCCTCTCAATAATTTTACCTCAGTTTCTTCTCCCCTACTATTTTTTTCTCTTTAAAAAAAGGCAGAAGAGTATTAGCAGTACCGTAGTTAAGTAGCATATAAGATTAATAAATTTTCTTAACTTTCTCCAATGCTTGTTTTCAAAATAAATTGTAAGAACTTTAGCAAAAGAGAATGAAAACAAAGAGTGATGACGAAAGAACTGAATATAAAGCAAAGTTTTTTGTTTTTTTAGACCCTCCAACAGTTTCAGAAGTGTCTGAAGACACCGAAGTTAAAAAAGATGCATTAATTTTTTGTGTTTTTTTATGGTTTATTTAGAAAAACGTCATAAAGCTCAGTTTTTTGAATCCTACTACAGTTTGCATACAGTAATCTGTGTGCCTCTATGGTTTTTTGTTTTCACTGTGCACTTTAAGTTCCTTTTTAACTCCTTTATTCTGATTTCAGCCTTTTTTTCTCCTTCGCCGTTGATGTGATCGCCGTGGTAGCCGCCGTTGTTGTCATCACCACTGCCACTGTTACTATCATTGTTTTCGCGTTGATTAAGTGCAAAAGAAAGAAAAAAAATCCAAGATTAAGTTGAATCAAAGGACAGAAAAAGAAGGAAAGGGGGGGAAAAAAACAAGGCAGCCATAGAATGAAAGCAAAAAGCATT